GAAGAGGGTGAAGAGCCTTCCAAGAAGGCCAGTGAGAAGCATCCAGAGTGGAGTAAGGGAGCAGCAGGCTTCGGCCCAAGACAGCCTGAGGGCTCCAGGCCTGGGCCAAGGCTGCTGGAGTCTGTGCTCAGGAGGTCAGTCAGTGGTGGCCTCTCAAGAGGTTGGGGCAGGGTGGAGATGAAGAGGTGGGAAGGGGAGAGAGAGAGGGAGGGAGGGATAGATGAATGGACAGACTTGGGGGGGAAGAAGATGACCTTAGAGACAGTGGAGAAGAGGAGCCTGGAAAGAATTTAATTAAGGGTAGTGGGAGAAATGAGCTTTAGTGAGGAGTGAGACTAGGTCTTGTGTGGTCCTAGTGAAGGAGGAGAGAGAGTGGTGGATGGTCCCCTGGAAGAGAGCTGATTGTGTCCATTGCAGAAGTAGGCTGGGTTGTCTCCACAGAGTGTGGAGTGGGAACGTGGTGGGGGGCAGGAGAACAGTGGAGGAAGAACCAGCTAGTCAACATCAGCAAGGACCCCTTCATCTCTAGTCTGATCAGCATTCATTAGCAGTGGCATTTATTTTGTGGACTCTGCACATGTATTGCTCTATATGAAATAGTAGTAGAAATAGACAGACATCCGTTTAGGACTGGGACCCCATCTTTTACAGATTAGGAAACTGGGACCCAGAGATGCTAAGTGATTTGCCTAGGGTCACACAGGAAAGTTTTAGAGGTAGCATCTGATCCTAGATCTTTCTCCCAAGTCTGGTTCCCTGTCCATTATATCACATTGCCTCCTAGAAAGAAAATGAATAGATAATGAGGCTTCAGGCTATTTGATCTTCCTTTCCAAATTTGCGTTTTGCATTTGACCTAATGTATCTCACTGTCTGATTTCCTAGGCAAGATTCGGAGCCCCTTCCTGCAGAGGCAGCATACCCAGCCAGAAGTTTCTATTACCAGAGAAGCCACCCCAGCTTCCCCAGAGCCAGCAACAAGTAATTCTTTCTCTCTCTCTCTCCCTCTCTCTCTTTTTTTTCTGTGAGGCAATTGGGGTTAAGTGACTTGCCCAGAGTCACTCAGCTAGGAAGTGTTATGTGTCTGAGGCCGTATTTGAACTCGGGTCCTCCTGACTCCAGGGCCAGTGCTCTATCCACTGCGCCACCTAGCTGCCCCATAATTCTCTTTTTTTTTTGTGGAAGGGTGGTGATAGAAAGTGTCTCAAGTCTTCTGAAGTGGCCTCCAGTCCTTGAAACTGAGTGGGAGGAGCGCCTGGGTGAAGTCTGGCTGATAGAGACGCTTTGTTCTCAGATATCCAAGTGCAGCAGGGCCCTGGTGCTGCTCCTCATTCTCCAGGGCAGGCGGAAGAAGAAAGCTTGTATGAGAAGCCCCCAGAGCAAGATAATCTCTATGAGGAGCCCCCGCAGGTCGATGCTTCAGCGTTTTCCCTTGGGAATCACTGTCCAAAGTGGTGTTCAGTTGTAGCCCCTTTGGCTACGCAGACCATCAGACCCGGCAGCATTGTTCCGCTAAGCAGGAAAGGGGAGAGGGCATGGTGTAGCGATCCAGGGCCTGGCATTTTGGGTGGGCTGCAGAGGATGGAGGGGAGGGGACAGCAATTCCTCAGCCCTTGGGAAGACTTGTCCCATTAACCTGAACCTTTCCCTGTACATGGATGCTGCTCCCCCTCCACCTTTGAAGTCTTTCTTGGACAGCACTAGGAGAGAGAGGTGAGGGTGGGCAGGTAATACATTGTTGGAAGAGAAACCATCCTTCTCCTTTCTCTTTCCCTGGACAGGTAGAGGAAGGGGCTACTTATGAGTATACTGACCACTACAAGCCGGGACCAGAGCTGGGCCAGAAGGGACTCTGTGCTAGGGCCCTGTATGACTACCAGGCTGGTAAGGCCTGCATGTGTGCTGTCTAGGAGTGGGGGGCAGGGGGTGGGTGGGCAAGGGGCATAGTTAGTGAGAGCCACTTGTAGCTCCAGAGGAGAGCCCAGGGTGGGAGCAGGTGTGCCTGGGTGAAGACTGAAAATTACTCTATGTGTGCGCGTGCGCACACACACATATATACACACATATATGTATATACACACGTATACATACACATATATATACATGTGTGCAAATATATGTCTCTGTATATACTAATATATATGTATTATGTGTAGCACATTCAAGTTCTCAAAAGTGCTTTTATATCTATTACTATTTCTGAGCCTGTGAGGCAAGAGACAAGTGTTAATATCCTGGCTTTGCAGATGAGAAAACTGAGGCCCAGAGAGCTAAACTGCTTATTGTCACTTAGTGTTGAAGGTCGCATTCCAGTTCCATTGTCCCTGACTCCACTAAGGCAGAATCTAGGGGCTGGTATTACACGAGGACAGTGATTCTGTCAAGAATCGTAGATTTGCTCTTTGTCCCTACGTTAAAAGATCTTTGATTTCACCCTTATGGTCATCCCCTCATGAACACAGATCAGAACCTCTCAGTCCATCTTTTGGGGGCTCCTCTGTCACCTGGTCCCCAGGCTGACCATGAACCTCAGAACTGAATTCTCTGGTGCCTGGAGGACAGTCTGCTGTCAGCTTTGTACTAGGAGCCTTCTCAGCGTGGTCAGCTTTCACTGCCAGAGCCCATGCACTGCTGGCCCAGGCTTAGAGCCCTCTGAGCCCCAGGGAGGCTGAGGGGACAGCCCTGCCTGGACGTGGAATTGGCACCAGCGCTGCTGCACAGCGGGGCTGCACTTGATGGCCCCAGGGGACCCTTCTGCCTCTCAGTCTATCATCCAAGGACCTAAAGATCTGCTAAGGCTGGGGCTTTGGAGGGGCTGAATGGGGAATGACTAGCTGAAGTGCCTGGCTCACAAGGTATCCCTGAGGCTGTTCCTAATGAGTGTTTTTGCTCTGCATCTTCCAGCGGATGACACAGAGATCTCCTTTGACCCTGAAAACCTCATCACAGGAATTGAAGTGATCGATGAGGGTTGGTGGCGTGGCTATGGCCCAGATGGCCACTTTGGCATGTTTCCTGCCAACTATGTGGAGCTTATTGAGTGAAGGCTGCCTGTCTCCTGGCTTCTGGACTCTCCAGGTCATTCCTTCACTCCACTGACGCAGCATGTTACCTGCCCTGGAGGTTGGGTGCTAGGGCAGCACTGCCTGACAAGAGACCCATTGGGCTGGGGAGAACGGGGGACCCATAAACACCCCACCCCCACAAGACTTTTTTATTTTTTTTTTTGCTGAAGTGGCCTGGCAACCCCATTCAGTGCCTTTCCAGGCTTTGGGGTCCCTTCTGCTGGCCTATAGTTTGGTCTCCCCAATTAAGCAATAACCTGGTGATTTCACATCCTCAGAGGAGGTCTGGGCCCGTCTGATCTGCCAGTGTCTCCTGAACTTCTGTCCCTGTTGGTGGTGATGAAGCCAGGCCCTCTTCCCCTTCACAGCCTCTGAGCCCTCCTGGCTGCGAGTGTCAGGCTTCTCCAGTACCTGTGGGGTCCCCTGGGGAGCCTGGCCCTCTTCCTTTTCCTCTTGCTTTTGAGGGGTGATGGCTGCAACACTTATTACTAGAAACCTTTGGGTAGAATGAATTTAGGAAGTGTTTTTATTTTCATATATGACCAAAACCAGCCTGGGGTGTCATGGTTTGGAGGTAGTTTGGGATTTTGTTTTGGGTTTTTTGTTTTCTTTTAATCTGCTGCTCCCTCCATTCCATTCTCCTGTTCCTGTGGCCCCAGTGTGTGTGGGCCAAGGTTAACAGCCTACACCAGTGGAGTACATGAATCAAATGTGTGAAAATTTCTACAAACATGACACACCCTGAAATGTGATTGTGTCTCTGTGTCTTGTAACAAGGACTTTTTCTCCCAGTATTCCATTTTATTTAGTAGACAGGTCTTGGGAGCTCTTAGACTTAAGAGATGGGTTCATCACAGCCCTTCTCCTTAGCTCTGTCTGCTTACTTCTCCCCATTTCCATCCCATCCCACAGCTTTAGGCAAATAAAAACTAGTCCTTTTCCCCAACCGTGCAGGGGACCTCTGCCAGGGGAACATTTACAAACTGGCCTGAGTTCTAGAACTATGTCCTTGTGAGTGGGGAATCCTTTTACACCCAGAGTCCATTGTGCTGGGCGTCCGTCAGACGTTGGGTTGACAGCACCACCACATTCTGGGACCCCACTGTGTTCTGCCGTCAGCCGTTAGAGGAGTGGTTCCCTGTTGAAGTGGACCAGCCCCTTCACATTCTGGATTAGGCAGCTGTCCACCCAAGGTGGGGAGCCTCCTCAGGCTTCACCTGTAGAGGAGCAATCCAGGGAGTGCTGATGGCACTGGTCATTTCACTGCGGTAAACAGCTGCAGATAGCAGCAAAGGACAGCCCTCCCTGATCCTGCATCTTCTTTGAGGCTACCATGCATGACAGAAGCTGACAGGGCCAGGACTGGCCAGGGATTGTTTTTAGGGTTCTGGAATATGACTTTGGTCTGAGAGTACTGGGATAGAGTTGAGTTGTGTTACACCCTAGCTTCCTTTCTGCTGACTAGCTACCAAGGGCCTTGTCCCCATTCACAGTCCTCCCAGATGTGCACAGGACCATTCCACAAGCGTTTCTGCCCCTAGCTTTTGCCCATGGGTCAGACACCTGCTCAGACTCAACAGGAGGAGTGAGTGGAGGTGACTTTATTGTGCAGTTTGCTTCCAGGCTATTACTTGGCCTTGCCCTGGGCAGCCACGGCCTCCATGGCCTTCCGGACTGTTTCCTCATCCCCAAGGAACTGCATAGGCTTGGTGGGTTTCAGCTGGTCATCCAGTTCATACACGATGGGGATCCCGGTGGGCAAGTTGAGTTCCATAATGGCCTCGTCTGACATGCCTGTGAACAGCAGAGGAATTAGTAGTGAACCCACTGCTTTGTCCCTGACTTCCTGCCTCCTGGGAATTACCCAGGAAGTAGTACTGTGGGGTCAAGTCAGGAGCAATGATTGGGCCCCATGGAGTGGACAGTGATGATAACCTCCTTGGTATTCCAGTGACCTTTATAGCTTGGGCCAGCTGGCCCTAAAGCAAATCCCGCTCAGCAGCAAAATCCTAAAAAGTCAACGAAGAAAGGTCATGCTGAAGAAACTAATGCTAAGTGCTCCATGTGTTGGGGGAGGGGGTGGGATGGCTCATCACAAAATGTCCTGCCATCACTTTCCTGTTCTTAAGGCCCAGGAGCTTCCTCTCACTTTTAGAGCTGGAGGGGGCAGATGAGGAAACGGGACCATAGACTTTAGGTGACTTGTCTGATGTTTCTGGCTTTGAACCCAGATTTATTTAGATGGCCCAGTTCAGGAGGTATTGGGCATGATACAGGTTTGGGCTGAGTGGTGGTTAATTCTTGGGCTAAGAGGGAGGAGAGTGACCCCCCCCCCCCCCCCCAGCATAGGAAGGGCAGGGAGTTGCTTGCCGAAACCTGACCCTGTTTGGTCTCATGCTATCATGTCTGCCTGGAATAGCAACTTGACCTTTAGCATCCTCACCCAGCAGTGGGCTCCACCCAGTGTGTTCAGCTCAAGAGACAGTTCTAGGGTGGAGCTCTTGATCCAAGACACCTGTAGCTATCAGGCATCAAGCACGAAATGTGTTTCTTCACATAGAACCAACTTAGGAGGGCACTCCTTACCCCCACCCACCCCCCATTTGGGTTATAGACACTGGAAATGCAAAAGATCATCGATTGTGGACTAGGAAGGGACCTTTGGTGGCATCTAGTTCTACCCTCTCATTTTGCAAATGAGGGCATTGAGGCCCAGGATTTGTCCAAGATTCAAACCTTGGTCCCTATGATACTAAGTCCAGATCTGTTTCCTCTGCATGGTGGGGTTCTGGAAGAGTAGTGGAACAGAGGTGCCCTCTGTCCTTTGCTCTCCAGGGAGTGGGTATGCTTGCTCCAAGCTGGAATCTCAAACACTTCACACAAAGGACAAGGGAGTGAGAGGAAAACTCAGGAAAAATGGAGGACAGATGGGGCTGAAATGGGGAAGGCCTTAGATCTTAGGATGAAGCCTAGATGGGATATGAATCAGTGACCAAACATAACCTGGGATTGTCACTAGCCTCATTACCGATTAGCATGTTTATTGTTGCTTGTTGGTGACAAGAACCTGATGTTTGGGGAGGTGGGTTCCCTATGTGAATACCTATAGGTTTGAGCACCTGGCCCCCTTGTCAGCTGCTTTTCCCTGAAGATTATAACTTGCAGCTTTGCTACTCCGTATGAAGCAACGAGGTATAAAAAGAGCAGAGAGACCAGAGTTCTTGTTCCATCCTCGTCTCTAACTTACTGTATGAAAGAAAAGCCACACCCCTCTGTGAGTCTGTGTGCATATGTGCGTGTAAAGCAACTTTATTTGTCTATCAGAAATGCCCCCAAGTTTCTTACCAGTGGCTGGGACCTGTTTACTACTCTGGACCTGAAATGTTGTGCTCATTTGTTGAGAACCTGTGCATCTCATCATCGAAAGCTTCAGGAATTCTTTCGTACAAGCTTCTTTGCTATCTGCCTCATCATATTCCCAGAGCAAAAAGGAAAAATCACAAAAAGGCAGGAATTCACACTATTTAACCATGAAAAGTTAAAAACATTTCATTAACTTGGGTTGCTCTTTTCTTCACTGGAAGGGTGCCTGTCCATCTTACTGATTGTGGATAATTGCCCACTTAAATTAACTGAACAAAACCAAAAACTCATTCTGAGTAGCCCCTAATTCTGCACATTAGCTAGCTGGCTCTCTTAATAGTTGGCCAATTCCAAATGTGAAAGGTGGCATGACAATCACTGTCTTTGGGACACATATAGTAGTGTAGTGCAGTTTGGGTGTTTGTTGGGAAAGATCTGTTGTGTCCAAACAATATCCATAAAATAAATTGATAGCAGTGCGTTTTCAGCAAACTTAGGCCAGCTATAATATATACCTTTCTTACCTTCTGAAAAGCTTACTGTATATAAGTCAACTGGTTAAGTTCTGAGTTACTATACACTGCTTTGCTGGGACCCAACTTTGGGCTCTCAGACACTTGGATTTGAACACAATTGGGAAAAGGAAGACCTCAACATGCCGCCTTATTTACTCCATTCTGATGGTCATGGAAGCAATAGGAAAGACTCATCCTGAGGTGTGGAAAGAGAAACCTTGCTGGAGAAAGGAAAACGAGAAAATTTTTCAGGGTACAAATAACTTGGAGTAAAAACAAAACAATCTTAAAAAACCTGAATTTCTAATGGCAATAATATTGTTTGCCTCTTTCTTCACCGGTCACCACAGAGTACCTGTTCCCATCTTCTTTTCCTGTGGTGATCTCTGCAGTTTTTCTTTTTCTTTTTTTTTTAACAGCTTTTTCCCCTCAGTGTTTTAGCTTATCAAAATTACCTTTTCAGTTCTTAGTTCACTTCATCTATATAGGCTTATTGGTTTGGAGGTTTGAGGTAAGAAGCCTTTGTGGCACTGGACTGGAGGGTTTCATAGGGATCATTTCCTGGGTGCTTATATCTGGAGTTAGTTGAAAAGTTTAGGAAAAATGACACCTGGAAAGTAAACCTTTCCTTAACTGCTCTGTTCTTTTCATATCACATTCATGTCTAATATCCTTCCCAGCTCACACTGATGTAGGGATGACTGCAGGACATCAGACTGATTTTGTTAGGAAATTAAATTTCAAACTCAGACTGAAAATGAGTGAGGCTAATGTAGAGACAGAACACTGATACCTTCCCCCTCCAAAAAGTGATCAGACAAGACACTGGGCACTTTTCCAAGGGAACATTTGAAATGAGTACTCTCATAACAGTAAAACAGATGGCATTCGGAAACACCTCCCTAAAGTGCAACTGTGAATTGAGATCTGCATCTTCAGGAGATGGCTTATTGCTATTATTACAAGTACAAATCAGACCTTGCCAAGTGCTTCCTACTTTGCATTAATACCAAGTGAAGCCTCGCAGAACTGGAGTGGCTGCCAGTATGTTATCTAAATCAATGGGGCCATACCTAGGAAGAGATTCAAGTTACCATGGCAGACACCTCTAAAGGGAAAAAAAGGGTCCAGAGCAATAAAAATTTTAAAACAACCCCCCAGATTTTTGGCCCAGAGTGAATGAACTGAATACATGTTAACTGCAAACTTGTCAATTTAAAGGGAAGAGAGTGTGAGTGATACGGCCAGCCAAGGATAGGTGCTGCAAGCTGGCTAGCCACAGGGTAACCCGAGGTACCTTGGTTTTGCCCTATCAGCTTTTCCGACAGCTCACCAGCTGCTTCTCATGTATTTCAAGAAGACCCACAGGGCAGCAAACTGAGAATTCCATTAAAAAGAACCTACTCTTAGAAAAAAGTGGGAAGGATGGCACGTTTATGCCAACATCTGCATTTTCCCCAAAGACACTGTAGGAATTCTTTGACTTTGAACTTGAAAAACCCCACCCTGCTAATGGAATTTTTCACAACTCTGGAGGCTCAGTTATCTCACTTTTGAATAAGCTTTTAATTTGCCTAAGGGAGCAAAAAATATGATTCCACCTTGAAATCACCACGTCCTTTAAAGGTTTTCCTTCATTTCTTTTTCAGAAGTTTATAGAATCCTAGACAGGGCTGGAAGGGATCTTGGAGGTCCCGAAAAGTTAGAACATTTGTTTAAGGTCACACAGATAGTGAGTAGCTGAACTGGAATCTGAACCAGGGGCTTTGATTTCAAATCTAGCCCCCGTCCCACTCAATCATACTGCCTCTCCAGAGTGTCCATGTTATGAGACATTTAGAGACTGGATCACAGATGAACCAATTCCCTTTTCAAATAGATAAAACCTACCCGTTAGTACTAAGGCCACGGTGACAGAAATCAGTGAAAGTCTACTAAATACGTAAGATGGATCTGTTAGTATTTAAAAAAAAAAAGACAAAGGTCCTAGGATCATAGATTTAGTCCTGGAATAGACCTTATAAGGTCACCTAAGCCACCCCTCATCCTTGGATCAGTCTGGGTACAGTGGGCTAGGGGCTGGGGAACTGCTTTTTGGAAGATTCTCTGAGGGAGCCACGGGTAGTTTTTTGTGTAATCTACCTCCTGTCCTGCACCTGTCATAAACCTCAGCGCCAGCAGCAGCTAGCTCTGTCTACCTGGGGTGGTTTTTTCATCTACAAAATAAGAAAATTGGGCCACATTATTGCTAAGAATCATGAAATATTAGAGCTGCAAGAAACCTGAGTTTGTAAAAGTCATAAACCAAGAGCAGAAGGAGACTCCCCAGGTTGGCCACCTAGTTAAGGAAGAAGTGGCCTCCTTTTGTGGTCACTTCCTGGGCTTGGCAGAACAAGATCTAGCCTGGCCTCGGCCCTCTAGGTCCTGATTGGGGGAGGGGGCTAGTATAGAGCATATAAGGAAAGATTTCTCCTTGGAGGTTGTGGATGGGAATCTCCTCAGAATCCTCCCAGGTCTCTTTGCCTCTTGATATTTGGCACTGGGCGGGGCTATGGAAATAAATGCCCCCAAAGGTGCATGCTTGGTTCTGTTCCTTCCCAAAGGGTGACAGCTGGACCTTGAGGCACCTAGGTGAAAGCAAAATTGTAGCCTAGTCTGTTCTTTGATCCTTAGAGCTGAAGAGACTGAGCAGGGCAAAGCTTGCTTTCAGCCATTGTGAGCATCCCAACATGAGAGACATAGGGGCTAAAAGAGAAGACAGCACAGGGCTGGGGAGGCAGGGGGCGGGGTGGGTGCAGCTTGTCTTTTGTGCTGAACTGGATACATAGAGCAAGCATGCCTGCCAACTAGACCACACTTATGTCTTCCCCCTTCCCTACATCCCATCCTAAATCCTCTTTTTTCTTCCAAACATCTCCTTGGGGACCGCAAATTGGTTCAATGAGGTGAGAAGTTCTGAGAAACCTAGGAAGGAAGAGGATGAAAGGCCTGCCTCCTCATTTCCAGGCTCTGTCAGACCCCAGTCTGCTAAAGCAGCCAAGATAAAGAGTGGGACTTCTTACAAAAAGAAACCTCTCATCATACACCTGGTCCTGGTCACTCCCTTCTCTCAAGACAGACCACAATCTAATATGCCCCCAAGGGGACAAGACTTCAGAAGGCCAGTTCCCCATGCAACATTTAGGGGCTCAGGGGCAAGCTAGGTACTTGCAGACACCAGATGTCTGTCCCTGGCTACTCATTTGCTAACTTCAGTGACCACCATCAAACTCCCCTCTTCCACCCACCTACACTCAGACTCATGAGATAGGGTTTGGGTCCTGGCTCTTAGTAGACCTATAACTATAGGGCTAGAGCTCCTGGTCTCCTTGAAGCCCTTAAGATAGAGCCTAGAGCAGGGGTGGGGAACCTTCGACCTCGAAGCCACATGTGGCTCTCTGGGTCCTCAAGTGTGGCCCTTTGACTGAACCTTAATCAAAGGATTTGTTTGGTAGAACTTGGATTCAGTCAAAAGGCCACACCCAAGGACCTAGAGGGCCTGAGACTGCAGGTTCCCCACCCCTGGTAGAGGCAACTTTTTTTTTTTATTCCTTATTCTCATCAACCTGTCCCGGTCATTTCTATATCAGTGTTATTGCCCTGTACTCTTTCTTACACATATATGGACATGTTCATTCCTTCCCTCCCTACTCCCCTCAGGGTGAGGGTGAGCTCAATTCAACATGGGTGATGGTCATCAAAGGGGGGGGACTGCGGAATGGTGATTGTTATCTCTGGCAAAATTGTCACTGGGGTGTTGAGAGAAATAGGGAAGCAGATAGTTTCATGGTGTCAGAACACAGAAGCAAAGAATGTTAGTGTTTTGTATAACGCTTTAAGTTTTGCAAGCACTTTACAAATATTATCTCTTGATCTTCACAACAACTCTGGGGAGATAGTTACTATTATCCCCATTTTACTGATGGGGAAACTGAGGCAGGCAGCAGTTAAGTGGCTTTCCCAGAGTCACTCAGCTAGTGAGTGTCTGAGGCTGGATTTGTGCCCAGTCTTCCTGACTGCAGGCCTGGCATTCTGTCTACTGTGCCACCTAGTCTAAACTTTACATTTTATACAAGAGAAAGCTCAGATCTACAGAGGCAACCAGGCTTGTTTAAGTACAGAATATCTATTGGGAGAACTAGGGGATAGAACTCCAGATCCCAAGCCAGGGGTCTTTACAGCGTGCTCCCTCAGGAGGCTAGGATCTGAGGTCTGGAGCTAAAGGGACCTGGGAGCCCAACCCCTTCATTTCACAGTTAGGGAAATAGAGGCATAGAGAAGCTTGAGTCGCATATGTAGCAGCCCCAGTCCCTTATTTCCTACCTGTCTAGTCACCCATTCCCCTACCCCCACCCCCAATCCCCTACCTGCTCCCTGAGCCTTGAGGGCCAGGCTCAGCTGACGTAAGAGAAAGGGTCTTCCCTCCCAAGGGGTATTTGCAGTGACAGGTGCTGCTGAGTTTGCTAAGGCCAGTATGAATTCAGTGGTTTCCTGGCCAGGCTGGCTGGTCCTGGAGGGTGGCGCCCAAGTGCTATAATTGACTTCTCTGGGGTCCTAGCTTCTATGTATCACCCCCAAAGCTGGTGCAGGCTCTTAAGGGCATTCTCCCAGTGGGACATATCCCATCCTGGCTAAGTTATCCCCAAGAGCACTCAAGAAATCTGTGCAAGCCTGATTAAGAACTGAGCATCCGACGGGCAGCTAGGTGGCACAGTAGATAGAGCACTGGCCCTGAAGTCAGGAGGACCTGAGTTCAAATCCGGCCTCAGACCAAACACTTGACACTTACTAGCTGTGTGACCCTGGGCAAGTCACTTAACCCCAATTGCCTAAAAAAAATAAATAAATAAATGAAGAAAAAGAAAAAGAACTGAGCATCCAGAGTGGGGACTAGGCTCTCCGAATGGCCCTCGCTCCATGACTATCTCCTATTTTGGAGGTGGTGCACCTGGGGAGGAGCTTGAGCCCAGATCAGGAGCTCTGCAGAGCTTGGGACAGGAAGACACTGTAGGGTAGCCATAGGCCAGCTCCCATTGCACAGAGATCTTACCTTCCAGGTGCTTGACTATGCCTCGTAAGCTGTTGCCATGGGCAGCAATGAGCACCCTCTTTCCTGACTTGATCTGAGGAGCAATCTGCTCATTCCAGAAGGGCAGAGCCCGGGCAATGGTATCCTTCAGGCTCTCACAGGTGGGCAGCTCTCCAGGCTTCAGACCAGCATAGCGCCGCGCCTGTTGAGGGCAATAGAGCCGATGCCAAAGAGGTATTCCTAACCAGGGGGCCCAATGCTTTCTTTCCCCAACCATCCTCCAGGCTAATTGTCCTCATGCTCCAAAGCTCCCTCCTTTCCCCTGGGCCTGAGGAAGGGAACAGCCCCGGGTTCCATGCATCCCCCTCTCACCTTGCTGATGACTGAATAGTAGGGGTGCTTCTCATCCATGGGTGGGGGTGGGATGTCAAAGGAGCGTCTCCAGATCTTCACCTGTGCTTCCCCATGCTTGGCAGCAGTCTCTGCTTTGTTGAGGCCTGTGAGACCCCCGTAGTGGCGCTCATTCAGGCGCCAGGTCCGTACCACAGGCACCCACATCTGGTCTACACCATCCAGGATGAACCAGAGGGTGCGGATGGCACGCTTCAGCACCGAGGTATAGCAGATGTCAAACTCCAGGCCGGCTTCCTTGATGGCCTGGGCCCCACGTTTGGCCTCTTCCTTCCCCTTCTCACTCAGTTCTGCATCGAACCAGCCGCAGAAACGGTTCTCCTGGTTCCACGTGCTCTCGCCATGGCGGACGATCACCAGCCGGTGGGTGGGCATGGCGATGGTGGTGGCAGGCAGAGCAGAGGGGATGGAGGCAGTGGAGACAGCTCTGAAATGCAGCGGAGCACAGTCTATCGGCCAAGTGTTCCTGGCTTTATGATGCTCTGACTCCACCCCTCCCCCTTGACTAACTGCCAGCTGGCATTCTGGGCCTGTGGGAGGGAGATGGACAGTGGCAGGTGGTCAGTGGCCTTGCGAGAAGGAGGAGCCCAAGGCTGGCAGAAGGGAGCCAACCTCAAAATAACTCTTGAGAGTCGACTCCAGTGACGGATCTGTCCAAAATAAGTCCTGGACTGGGCCTCTTGCCCAGGAACTCCCTTAGCCTGGGCCAGGGTCTGGGGGCCTCTGGGCCTGTGGCAATGTGGCAGGATGATCTGAGTTTGGGCATAAAGGTGAGAGGGGCCATCTGAGGGAATGAGTGAATCCCGGGGGGCCATCTTGGCTCCTACCCTCAGAGCCCTAACACGTCGGGGAAGCGCCAGGAGGCCTGATCAAGGAGTAACTTGGGGGTTCTAGGTGTCTCAGGATTTCTAATGCTGAGCCCCCTCACTTTGGGCTGACATACACCTTGATGGCAAGTGGTTTGGGCCTTTTGGCGGGTCTGGAAAAGCAGAGGGTGTCCCCCCCGCCCCGCCCAGAGCACCCAAGAAGCTGGGTTGGGGAAGGAGTTCTGGAGGCCACAGGCAGAAATGGGTAAAGGTGACAGTGCTGTTACCATGGTGATACACAAATGCCTTGTACCAATTGGGGAGGAGGGGGGCGGGGTTGAGGGATAGTAGGAGTGAGAAGCCCCCCTCTCAGTTTGTAGGAATGGGCCTTAGGTCTCAGGGACCTCACTTGCCTAAAAGTTCTTATGTCCCCAATGTAACAGTTTGAAGAGTTAGTACCTGAAAGCTGAATGTTGACCCTTCCATCCCCAGTGTCTCCCTCCACATCCCTTCTCCCACTCTGGCCAGTGGCATTGCCCCAGCAGTCTCCCTCCCTCATACTGGCCCTGAACCAGTTCTATACCATGACTCCTACCAACCAGTCCTGCCCACATGCTCCCTGAATCACCTGGAGATTCATCAGCTCCCATGGATTTAATGACCAACTCTATGCTGATGAATCTCAAATCGATGTATCCTGGCCCAGTCTCTCTGCTGACCTCCAATCTCTCATCTCCAATTGCCTTCCAGACATTTCACTCTGGATGTCTGGTAGACATCTTAAACTCAATATATGCAAGACAAAAGTCATTATCTTTCCCTGTAAAACCTCCCCTGGCTTCCTTTCTACCCTGTTACCGTAGATGGCAACACCGTCCTCCCAAGTCCCTCAAGCTTGAAACCTAGGAGTCATCCTGGACCCCTCACTATCTCTCACCTTCCCTCACCCCTATATCCAATATGGTGCCAAAGGCTGTCAATTTCCCCTTTGCAACATCTAAATACGTTCCCTTCTCTCCTCTGACCCTGACATCTTCCTGCCGCAGACCTGCATCCCCTCATGCCTGGACTATTGTTAACAGCCTGCTGGTCAGTCTGCCTGCCTGCAGTCTCTCCTCACTCCGATCCATCCTCCATTCAGCCACCAAAGAGACTGTCCTGAAGTGCAGGTCTGACCTTGTCACCCTCCCACTCAATAAACTCCAGTTCCTCCCTATGGCTTTCTAAATCAAATATAAAATCCTTTGTTTGGTGTTCAAAGCCCTTCCTAACCTGCCCTTCCTCCTCCAACCACACTTGTCCTGAAAACCTAGAGGGAAAGGAGTACCAAGGCAAAGCTGGGATCGGAACCCAGGACTCACTGACTCTGAGGCCAGGTATCCTTCATACCTTTCCGATACCTTTTTATACGTTAAATTCATTGAACCCCTTCTCATTCTTCCCAATGGGTTTGTAAGCTCTTTAAAGGTACGAATCTTGACCTTCCTACCTTGCAGTTCCCCAAACAGAAGCACCTACTATGTGCAAGGCCTGGTGTTATGAGATATGAAGACTGGAGATACATCCCTGCCTTTGAAGCAAAGGGAATCCATGCATACACAGGTAAGTAAGTTTACAGGGTAATCTGAAGAAGGCAGGTGGACCACCAACGTGGGTTGTGTGTGTGGTGGTGGGAGGGTAGAAGTCTGGGAAAGCTTCCTGTAGGAAGTGATGTTGCTTATGGGCTGAAGGAAGCAACAGAGACTCCAAGAGGCAGGGATGAGGAGGAAGTCTGTCCCAGGCATGGGGTATGAAGATGGGAGATAAGAGGCTGGGTCTGGGGAAGCACTAGCTGGCTAACAAGCCAGGGTGGGAAAGTGGGGAGCAGCATGGCGCAGATAGTGGGGACACTCTCCAGGAAGACCTGGGTTCAAGTCCCACTAAAGATAACTTTTTAGCTGTGTGATCCTGGACAAGTCACCTAACTTCTGTTTGCCTCACTTTCCTCAACTGTAAAATGGGAATAATCATAGCACCCGCCTCCCAGGGCTGTTGTGAGGATTAAATGGGACATTTGTAGTGCGCTTAGCACAGAGCCCGGCACATGTTGAGTATTCAATGAATGTTTTTCGTTCATTCATTCAAACATCCTTTCCCATGGTTGCACGAGAAGCTCTTAGAAGGCGAGGACTCACCTTCTTGTGTCCCTCCCTTACCCCTGGGACAATGCGTGGTGCACACTGGAAGGCTCAGCCCCTTTACCTGCACTCCACTGGAGAAGTACAGATGCCCACACCAGCAGAAAGCAAAGAAATCCAGTGGCTCCTTGCAAAAATAGACATCCCTTTAATTATAATTTTTTTTTTGCATTTACATAGAAACCACTAACATCCTACCCGTGGGGATGAAAAAAGGCCAAGAACTATGGGCCCTACATTTCTAAAGGGCACTTTGGTCCAGGCATTCCAGGACTCTACTGACTCTGGCATTCCATTCTCCCCAAAGCCCCAGCTGGGAAAGAATGTGGGGCTGGGAACTCATTCTCTGACACACAGGAAGAGTGATTTTAAAAGACCCAGGGATTTTCAGATGTTCCAGACTAATCTTAAAATACCTTTACCTTCCCAAGAATCAGAATGGGAAGGGGTTGGACACCAGGAAGTTGGGGCTTCTGCCATGGGCCTCTGGGGAGGGGAGCAGAGTGGAACAGTCACCAGACCAATGTGGGGCAAGGTAGGCCCCTCCTGCCCCACCCAATCCCTGCAGTTCCCAGGCTGTGTGCTTCTCTTGCTACCCACATATGAAGGCACGTGTGGACAAGAGACTAGGGCAATCAGGCATTCCTCTGTTCTGGTGTGATGTACTCCAGGCCCAGGTGTGTGAAGATGTCTTCCTCTGAAGCCGCTGGTAAGGACTCCTTCTGAAATAGGCAAGCGCAGACAGAAATCAATCTATCAGGGTCCAAGTACCGACTAAGTCCCCAAGTGATGAAGAAAGAGACCGTGGAATCCCAAATTTAGAGGTGGGAGGGAGCCTAAGCCATCCTCCAAAAGGAAGCGTCACTATGAGGTGCCCAGCCTCTGCGGGAGGGGAGAAGGGGGAGCCCACCAGGCAGCCCACTGCCCTGCTGGACAGCTCTCACGCTTAGGACATCAGGCCTCAACTGGTTTCTTTGTAATTTCTACCCATAGCTGCTGGGTCTATCCTCGCGGGCCAAACAGAACATTTCTAATTCTTCCTGGATAGGACAGTTTTTCAACTACTAGAAGACAGAGATGGATAGATAGATGATAGTGTAGAAAGAGGAAGCTAGAGAGATACATACATAGGATAGAGGGGGAGAGATGGACAGATAGGATAGAGGGAGACAGATGGATAGATCCATAGATAAGATGGAGGGAGGAGAGAGATGGACAGATAGGATAGAGGGGGATGGAAGGATACACAGATAAGATAGAGGGAGATAGACAGATGGATAGATAACATAGAAGGAGATAGACAGATATATGACAGTCCCTGTATATCTTGTCCCTGTTTTCCCCCTTCCCCCCAAAGCTCTCCAGGCTAGATACCTACAATTCCTTCCTTCCCCATTCTGGTCATCCTTATCTGTGTGCTCCCCAGTTTATCCCACATCCATCCTAACCACAACCTCCCCCATCCCAGCTGAGATCTGCCCCTGCTGTCCTGGATGACCAGGGCCCGGCTCAGAGACCAGTTCTTGTCTCCATGCAGGGATTTCTCTGGGTTGGAGACAGCATGGACTCCAAGGTGTGGGGGAGGATCAGCTACCTAGAGCTAAGCCCAAAGACCCTGGGGGGGGGAGGGGGAAGGTTCTGTCTGTCATTCCTTCATCAGCCTACCTTTTCTATGCTGTATAGCCCATGGCTGTTCAGCAGCATCTGCTTCTCTGATCGGCTGTACCTTCGAAGCTCCCTCTCAAAATGCTGTGGAACAGGATGAGAAGCATTTATTAAGCGCCTACGGTGCTAACCAGGCACTATGCTGAGCACTAGGGATACAAAGAAAGGCAAAAGATGGTTCCTGCCCTCAAGGAGCTCCCAGTCTGAGGGAGAAGACTACGCGTCAATAGCAGTACAAGCAAGCTGCGCCTCGGGTGAGGAGGAGGAAATCAGCAGGAAGGCACCAGCATAAAGAGGGGATTTTAGTTGGGACTTAAAGGAAGCTGGAGAACTCAGTAGGTAGTGCAGAGGAGGGAGAGTGTCCCAGGTATGGGGAGAGCCAGGCCAAGAGATGGAGTGTCTTAGTGGAGGAAGAGCCAGGAGGCCAGGGTCACTGGGTCACAAAGCAAAATTAAGGGAATAAACATTTACTAAGCACATTTAAATCCAGCCTTAGACATTTCCTAGCCATGTGACTCTGGGCAAGTCACGTAACTGTTTGCCTCAGTTTCCTCATCTGTAAAATGAACTGGAGAAGGAAATGGCAAACCACTCTTCTATCTTTGCCAAGAAAACCCCCAATGGGGTCAGAGTGTTGGAGATGACTGACATGACTACACAACAGACACGTACCATGTGCCAGGCACTGTGCTAAGCACTTTACAAATATTATTTGATCTTAAAACAACCCTGGAAGGGTGGATGCTGTATTATACCCATAATAAGTACACCTGGGGAAACTGCAGCAGAGGTTAAGCGATCTGCCCAGGGTCACACAGCTAACAAGTTTAAGCCCCTGAATTTGAACTCTGATCCTCCTGACTCCAGGGCCGATGCTCTATCCACTGCGCCACCTAGCTGCCCCTAGAGAGGAGTTTATTGACTAGGGACGAATGATATGATCAGACTTTAGTGGATGAATGGAGGACAGACTGGAGTAGGGGGAGACAGGAAGCAGGCAGCCTTCCCAGCAGTTGATTGCAATGGGTTGATTACAATGGTCCAGGTGTGAGATGATGTTCTGCACTAGAGTGGTGCCAGTGTCAAAGAAGAGAAGGGGCCAGATTTGAGAGATGCTGCCAAGGTCTTGCAACAGCTTGGACATGGGAGGTAAGAGAGAAGGAGGAGTTCAGGATCACTCCTAGGCTGAGAGACAAAGGATGGTGTTGCCCTCTACAGCAATAGGAAGTCCGTTGGGCATAGGGCTTGGGGGAAAGTTGATGAGCTCTGTTTTGGACATCTTGAGGTTAAGGTATCTACTGGACATCCAGTTTGATATGTCTGAAAGGCAGCTGGAGATGTGACCACTGGAGGTCAGGCAAGAGAGAGGTTAGAGCTGGATAAGTCAATCTGAGAATAATCTGCACAGAGATTGTAACTGAGTCCACAGGAGCTGATGTGATCACCAAGGAAATTAATATAGAGGGAGAAGAGGGCCCAGGACAGAACCCTGAGGGACACCAATGGTTAGAAGGGATGATCCGGATAAGGATCCAGCAAAGGAGATGGAGGAGTGGTCAGAGAGGGAGGAGGAGAACCAGGAGGGAGAGCGAGGTGTCCTGGAAACCTGGAGAGAAGAGAGTATTAAGGAGGAGAGAACGATCAACTGTGACCTGTAGAGAGGTCAAGAAGAATGAGGATCATTAGAGATGGCTACCAATGACTGGTCAGTCTTGGAGTAGGGAGCCACAACTTTCAGCCCCAGAATCCTAGACTTAGAGACAGAAGGAACTGCAAAAGGCCAACTAGTCCAGACCCCTCATTTTACAGATGAGGAAACTGAGGTCCAGGGAGTGAAGTGACTTCCCCAAAGTCCTTTAGTGTCTCCTTGCCAATACTCCCAACCCCAGGAAGCCACCTCATTCTTACCTGGGAGCCAGTCCAGCCAAGTAGGGCGAAGGCAAACTGACTGATAGGAGCTACCACAAGGTCCACTCTCACTGCTTTCCCATCCCTGGAGGGCTCTGTGGGACCCTCTTCAGCCTCTGAGTGGAAGGATGTAGGTGACTTTGGGAGCCAGAGAATGGAGAAGCATCTCTCATAGGCATCTATGGCAGTGCTCTGGGACACCTTGTGCTCAAGGTCTTTGAAGTCTTGGTAACTGTTGCTTTGGGTGTGTTGGTACAAAACAAGACCCTGGGAGGAGTGGGCATCAGAGACTTAGAAATGGAAAGAACCTCAAAAGTGATCTAGGTCAGCCTCCTCCTGTCAGAGGTATCAGAGCCCAGAGAGAAGAAACTCAAGGTCCCACCATGAGCGAGGTTTCGCTCCAAATCCAGGGCTATGGTTGCTGCACAATCCAACCACGTACATGGCAGAGGCAATGGTCCCTTGGGTCTGGGGAAGAAGGAAGCCTCCAGGGGTGTTTGTAGGACACACTGGCACCCAGATGGCTGCCATGTTTGTCTGTGGGCCTCAAGTCAGGATGGGAACTGGTGGTAATTCCATTTACTGCTCAACAAAGGACTTTTAACAACAAAAGGGTCTGATCTGGTGCCTGGCACACTACAAATACTTAATCAGTTCCCTGTTGAATGATTGATTATAGTCTCATTTCATAGATGTGGAACTTCCAAGAGGTCAGGTGACTTGCCGGTATGTGGCAGAGATGGAATCTGAATCCAGCTCTTTTGACCCCGAGATCTGTGCTCTTTGTACTTAACTATAACCACCTCACCATCTCACTATTCCACACCCAGGAGAGACTTTTTGGCAGGTGGGTGGGGAGTGAGAGAGACTGGCAAGTCTAGATGATTGGCTAGTCCGAGCCTCTACCCCCCCCCTCCAATACCACAAGCACACACAGTTATGTGTAGTGGTTACCCCAGGGCTCCCTTTCTGCAGAGGTCTAGGAAATCCTGAGCTGGTCAAAGGGAGCCAGGAGAGGGTCTTTGGACAGGGCCTCCAGGGACCCTTCCTCTTACCTGAAGAAGCCTCTGGTTTGGGGGAGGGGCCTCCTCCTCGGGTTGGTGGTGGGATAGGAAGAGAAGAGAACAAGAAGGGGGAAGGATAACCTTGCTCATCAGGGCATCCAGCCCCTCTCACCTGGCTCTCCAGGAGGCCCATCACCTCGGGTATCAGTCCTGCTTCCTGCCCTTCCACAGGGTGGGTGATAAGGAAGTCGACATCATGACCTTGGAGCTTTCCCCTAAAGAGCGGGGTGGAGGGATTCTCCCCTTGTGTCGGAATATCCCCTTCCTCGTCCACATGCCCTATCCTCCCAATTCCATAATCCCCCCCCAGCACTGGACCCCCCAGTTCTAGCTTCCTCATCACTTAGGAGAAGGAAGAACCATCCCTAATTTTGGCTAAGAAAGCAGTGGGGGCATCTGGCATTGAGGTGGTTACCCCAGGGTTCACCTTTTTGAGCCCTGAGCCAGTCAAAGGGAGGCAGGGCAGGGTGCTTGGAATGGGGCCCAGAGCCACTTTCTCTTACCTGCGAAAGCCACCAGTCAGGGTCACGGTAGCTCCAGGAAGCACTTGCCATACGGCCTCTTCCACGACCCGTTGGATGGCGTCTGCCTCATGGCGCCAGACTGGACTGCTAAGGTCCTCAAAATGACGGATCCCTGTAGATGCCCAAGCCTGGCTTAGCAAGGACCCACTGGGACTGAATCCTCAGCCCTTTCTGGTAACCCTGGCAGAGGTCACTTATAGCACATGCTGTGTCCTATCTCAGGGGCTACCCGATGAACTATCGATAAGGGTGTATGCTATGTACCTCCATTTTTCTATTTATAAAATGGGCCAAAGGGTCATGGGCCAATGGAGGGGAGTGGGGTGTTTATGTTATTATAACCTGAATGATGCCTTTCAGCACCATATGATTTTCTCATTTCCTGTTGACTGGCCATGAAATCAGCCAGCAGTCCCCACGGAACTGGGTGGGGGAGGGTGTGGACGGGCCATCCAGGTGGCCTCCCTTCCCCCTACTCTTGGCTCAGTCACAAGGAAAGGCCTTTGAAACAAACACATGCCACTCACTGTCCACTCACCACCCCCAGGAGCTCCGAGGGAGGGCAGCGGGCACTCAAGCCACAACAAAGGAAAAGAGTCCTCTTCTTTATGGGAGGGAGAATAGAAAAAGACAGAGCTGAAGGGAGGGAGGAGCGAGGTCACAGAGTGAATGGCAGAATGGGCTCAGGGTCCAGACAGAAGGCTCCCTCTCATGGCCACAGTCGGGCCACCACCCAGCAGGACAGAGGTGCCTCTTCCAGAGCCAGGGCCACTGAAGTCACTGCCCTCACCCTTCTGTACAGGGAGCAAAAGCTTCCTGGATGCAGTGGATAGGCCATGGGACTTGGAGTCGGGAAGACCTGGGTTCAAATCCTGTCTCTGACTCTTACTATCTGTGTGACCAGGGGCAAGTCCCTGAACCTCTCTGGGCCTCAGTTTCCTCATCTGTAAAATGGGAAGTCTAGATTTCATGGCCTCTAAGGTCCCTTCCAACTCTAAATCTATGATTCTATGATGTCCAGGCACGATCTATGCCCAGGAAGGGAAAATTCACAAAACTCTCACTCAGCCATTGAGTCCGATGCAGCTAGGCGGCGCCATAGTACACAGAGCACCAGGCTTGGAGTCAGGAAGACTCATCTTCCTAAGTTCAAATCTGCCCTGAGACACTTAGTAGCTGTGTGACCCTGGGCAAATCACTGAACCCTGTTTGCCTCAGTTTCCCCATCTGTAAAAAGAGCTGGAGAAGGAAATGGCAAACCCCTCCAGTATCTCTGCCAAGAAAACCCCAAATGGAGTCATGAAGAGTTGGATACGACTGAAATGACTGAACAACAATGATGACTGTAACAATAGCCAGCAAATTATATGGTACTTTAAGGTTTGCAAAGCAAACATCTCATTTAATCCTCACAGCGACTATGTGAGGTAGATGGTATTATCATCCCCATTTTACAGATGAAGAAACTGAGGGTTGAGAGAAGGGACTTCCAAGCGCTCCTTTCTCTGTCTCCTTGTGCATCCAGCCCATGCTGAAACGGAGTAGTAAGCGGCTCACTCTTCTCTGCTGCTGGCTTTTCTGGTTGGTTCCTAGGTTTCTTTTGGTCTCCCCAAGTGGATCAGGGCTGCCATGTTTGCAGGGCCTGGGGCTTATGCTCTCCTATCTCCCTTTACCATTGCTACAGACGAGCTCAAAAAGTCTTATGCTCTATTGAACCAATGAGAAATGACAAAGGATACTGACTTTCGGCCCGAAGGCCCTCTGGGAGCATGGATAATTAGGAATTGACTAAATCTGAGCCTTCCTCTTGAAAGAGGCTAAGGTCCTGGGCCCCCTCCTCTTCCCTCTCTGTTCCTTCTCAGTGGGCTCAGCAGATCCTAGGGGTTCCATGGCCCCTACGCTGAGGATTCCCCTTCCTCTATCTCCAGTCCTAATTTCTTTCCCAAGCTCCAGCCCCAGCACCAACTGCCTAGACATTTCCTAGTGGATTTCCCATCGAGATCTCACATTCACTGCAGCCACAACTGAGTTCATTGTCCTCCCCTGCCAGCTGCAAACCTTTTGCCTAGCTTCCTTATTTCTGTCAAAGGTACCAGCAGCCTTTGGGCCACCCAGGTTTGCAATCTTGGAGTCATACTCTACCTCACTCCTCGGATCCAGCAGAATATAGCTACCTTCAAGGCAGGGGCAGCTTGGTTTTCACTTTAATATCTCCAGTGCCTGGTGCCTAGCAGGCTTCTAATGAGTGATAGAATGACCTTCTGCAATGCAAGTGACCTTCTGAGCTAAAATCAGGAGACATTTTGTCCCTCAGAACCCTTGCAGGTGAAGATTCTGAGAGAAAGCCACCAGGACCTATCTGTCTAAGAGAAACCGCAGTTCCTCATCTCCTCAAGAAACACTGAAACATAGGAGAGAGGAAGGAGATAAACATATATTAAGTGCTTACTATGTGCTAAGCACTTTATAATTATTATATCATTGAATACAACAACCCTGGGAGGTAGGGGCTATTAACACCCCCATTTTACAGAAAAGAAAACTGAGGCAAACAGGTTAAATGACTTGCCTAGGGTCACACAGCTAGTAAGTGAGTGTGACTGGATTTGAACTCAACTTTCCTGACTCCTGGTTCATTGCACTACCCAGCTGCCTCTAGGCAATGGCTTTGGAGTCAGAGGGCTTGAATCCCACCTATCTATCATTATCTAGCTGTGCGTCCTTGGGCACATTGCTTCACTTGTCTGGGCCCCAGTTCCCAGCTCGGTGAAACGAGGGAAATGGGGGCGGGTGGTGTTGTTGAACTAGATGGTCTTTAAGATTTCCAGCAACTCTAAAATATATAATCCCACGTTCCTTACCTGCTTCCTGCTGTCGGTTCAGTTTTCCGGTCTGTTCGTGGAGATCTTCCAGGGTCCGGAACCCGTCCCGGTACCATTTGTCAGCGGTCTTTACCCCCACTCCAAAGATCTGGGTGAAGAGCTGGTAGGAGGAATTCACACAGGACAACACTGATCTTAGAAAATAACCATTGCAGCCATATTAGGTATGTATGTTTGTGTAGATACACACACAAAAACACACACACACACACACACATATATAATCACAGAAATATATATATTTATGTGTGTGGATATGTATACATACATATATTACATAAACATACATATTTATATATGCATGTATCTATATACACACATACGTACACATGTGTACACATATATACACAGGGTGTCCCAAAAATCTTAGCAAATTTCAAGCTTTCATAAGCTTCAATAATATCTAAAAATTTAATAGCTATTAAAGCTTAAAAGTTCACAGAGATTTTTGGGACACCTTGTATTTTTAATCAAAGTCTCAAAGTACAATAAGACTTTTGGGACACTGTGGTGTTTGTGCATGTATGCGTGTGCGACACACATATATAACAAAGGTAAACAACAAGCCTTGAAGAACAGACAAGGAGGTCTGCTTTTTGGAAAGGGTCAATGATTTTGGCATTGGGAGCTCCCTCCCTGACTGGTAACTTTGTCGATCTGTCCTAGGGAATTGCTGGAGACTGGGGAAGGCTGAGTCACCTGGTTAAGACAAGTCAACCAACATCTATTAAGAGTTCATTGTATCCACACAGGGCACAGTGCTAAGCACTGGAGATCCAAAAAGGGGCAAAAACAGCCCCCTCGGAAGGAGCTCACCTAATGGCTCAAGATGCTACTGATGTATGAAATCTGAAAAGTGAGGCGAAAGGATGGCTTAAGTCAATGTTATTGTCAATATTGTCATTTTGTTCTCATCTTTTTTGATGGGGTTCAGACAGAAGTGGTCCCAGGATGAATCGTCATCACCACTACATCCTATTACATAATTATTATTCCTTCATATTTAAATTTCCATGGACTATTGCATAAGTAGATGAAATAACCATTTTCTGTAGTTGAATAACAGTATTAGGACAAAAGCTAATTCTCTGTGGTCCCACTGAAAGCATGTTGGAGAAGGAGCATGAGGCAGTTGATAGCAAGCTGGACCCAAAGTCAGGAAGATGATGGTTGGAATCCCACCTTTGTCACTTCCTAGTTATGTGACTTTGGGCAGTCATGTAACCTCTCTGGGTCTCAGTTTCCTCATCTGTAAAATGAAGGGTTTGGACTCAATGACATCCAGGGTCCCTTCTGGCTCTAAAACTATGATTCGGTGATGATAACAGGCCAAGGTCATTCTCATGAAAAGTATTAATTTCCAAGGTGAACAGACTAACTTCCACATCTCAAGACCATCAAGTGTATATTATTCTTCGGTTGGTTAATTATGAGGATCAGACCATCACAAGCTACCCTCCAGAAAACAAGAATTTGTGTCTGGGGTCGTTAAGGGTCTTGAATGTATCCCAAGGCCAAGTTACCCCAAAGACCAGTCGTGGGAGTGTGGACAAAACAACCCATAAGCTCAGGGCCAACCAATGTTCTTAATATCCATGGACACTTGAAAAGTGGGACATTGTCAAGAAGAGGCTCAGCTTTTTCTCCACGAGAGCAATACAGCCTCAAACTGCATTGTTGCCAATACAAACTGGTGCTTGTATGGGGATGGAAAAGGTTAACACAGGATCGGCAAGCCTACAGGCTCAGAGAAGCTTGCCATGGCGGAGGGCATCTTAGATGCCTTCTCATTCCTTGCATTCACTATTTGTCAGAGATGGAGTCAGATATCATTTGGATCCTTCAATAAATCACAGTAGGACATAATGCAAATTGTGCATTGGGTTCCACGTCTACCTTTTAGTGATGCAGAGGGAACAACTGCCATGTCACTCTCCATTTAGAAAACACTTGCTGCTAAATGTTGGGGAGTCTAATCCTAACCCTTTCAATGAATTCCACAAATACCCCAGGAAGAATGATTGCTGATCTGAAGAGGGTAGGAAAAAAGTGGCTAACAGGGAGACAGATGAGTGATGAGATATTAAGAAAGCACACTATTGTCCTTGAAGTGTTCCCATCCCTGGGCTTAGATGAGCGATATCCCAGGATAGGAGGAGAGCTGGCAGATGTGGTTGCTTAGCCCCTGCCAATGATCTTTGCAAAATCATGGAGAGCAGGGGTGCCACAGGACTGGGGCCAATGTCCCAATTTTCAAAAAGACTAGAGTCTGTAAACTTAAAATCCTGGGAACTTGACTTTGATTCCTTGCAAAATTCTAGAATGTATCATTAAAAGGAGGGTTTACTAACATCTAAAAAGGGATGTAGTAATCAGAAAAAGTCATCATGGCTTCATCGAGAACAGATCATACCTTCCTTCCTTCCTTCCTTTTTGCCTTCCTCCCTCCATCCCTCCCTCCCTCCGGGTCACTAGACTGGCATATCAGGGGAATACTGTACTAGACCATTCAACAACTTCTTTTGTGTTATTCTTGTGGAAAAGATGGGAAGATTGGGATTGATAGCACGAGTTGTCTCAAGAATTGGTTGAATGAATGAGCCCAAAGAGTCGTCACCATTAGTAGTCTGATGTCCATGTGGAACAGAACTCCAGTGGAGAACCCCTGGGTTCCGTCCTTGTCAGTGTTTTCAGAGAATCTTATCAATTATTTATATAAAAACACAGATGGTACGTATATTAGATTTGCAGATGAAACAAAAGTAGATGGCATAGTTAACCTCTTAGATGCCAGAATCAAGTGACAGAAATATCCTGGCAGGCTAGAATGATGGGCTAAATTTAATAAAAAGAAATTTAGTTAAGATAAATGTAAAGTCTTTTGCTTGAGTTAATAATAACAATAGCCAGCATTTATATAGAATTTTTTACAAATATTATCTCATTTGATCTTCAAAACAACCCTAAGAAGGTGCTATTATTTTCCCCACTATACAGATGAGGAAACTGAGGCACAAAGAAGTTAAATGGCTTTCCCCAGTGTTTCACAGCTAGAAAGTGTCTGAGGATGGATTTGAACTTGGGTGTTCCTGACCCAAATCCAATACTTTATCCACTGTACCATCTAGCTGGTTAAAAAAAATCAACTTCATCAGATTGTGCACTGTCTTGGGGAGGAAGGTGGGGAGTGAAGGGAAGAAAATCTTAAAACTCAAAAGTCTATGGAAGTGATTGCTGATAATTCAAAATTAATTAATTAATTAAAAAATCAACTTCCCAAGTGCAAATTGCAGGGAGTGGTGGGTAGGATGTGGGTAGAGGTTAGTTTGTCTGAAAAATATCTGGGGGTTTTAATGGATAGCAATTCAATTTCAATAAGCATTTATTAAATGCCAACAAAACAAAACAGTTACTACCCTCAAGGAGATTACATTCTAATGAATGGCTAGCTGAATCTGAGTTAATGGTATAACAGAACAGCTAAGAAAGGAATGCTTTCCTTATCTAAGAGATGAGAAATAGATGTCAGAAAGGGGGAGGGGATGGTTCCACTGTCCTCTGCCATGGTCCCAGCAAGACTGCAATACTATATTGAATTCTAGGCATCATTTACGTTGACAAACCAGAACATCTGTCTTTTGTCTGTCTTTGTATCCCCAGGGCTTAGCACAGTGCCTGCCTGGTACACAGTAGGCGGTTAATAAATGCTTTCTGGTTGACTGACCTTCAGATGATGGTGAAGGGAATGAAGACATGAGCTCTCTCCCTTCACTCCACTCACCTTCATTGTCTGGTATCTCTCTGATTGTTTGACTCTTTCAACTTCACTAGAAATTCCATGTTCCAACAGTTCCTGTTGAAACAAAAAGGGACCAATTAGTGAAAGGCTGAGCCTGGTAATAGAAAAGTTGGATGAAAAATCATGGGAACATGGATCTAATGCTGGAAAGGGCTTCAGAGGAAAATGAGTCCAAGCCCCTCATTTCACAGATAAGGAAACTGAGGCAGAGGTGAAGTCATTTGCCTGGGGTCATGCACTCGGGTCTTCCTGACATCAAGTCTAGGGCTCCAATATACCCTGCTACCTGTCAGGAGCCTGAGAATGCTCAGAACACAAGCTGAGGGGGTCCGGCAGCCAGGGGCCTCTTCCCTCCTCTCCCTACATCTCTAGAACATGTGCCCGGGCTTAGGTGCCATCTTGGCTGACACATCTTCCTTCTACTTCTGCAGCCTAGGTGTCCTTCTGATCTGCCCAAAGTTTCAGACCCCTGGGGATGATGTGGGAAATGAAAACTGGTAAGAGGGGTTAATGGTAGCCTGGAGAGATTCACTCCCTTCAAAGGCGGGGGAAGAGCAAAGGTTACCTGCACAATCCTGGAAGAATGATCTCCAAAATAAGGAAGCCCTCGCAGCTGGCTCATGTTGGTGATGGGGCCAGGCAGGGCCCTGAGCACAGAAGCAGCCCGGCGGAAGGAGAGGTGCCGGCCCTGGCTGCCCTCAAAACCTGCAGCCTCTGCCAGGGTCTCCAGGGCCTCCTAGAAGGATGACACCCATGTCAAAGAGGGTCAGTAGCCTGGAGGCCTTGTGATGATGGGAGCTAGCCAAACATGGAACGGACGGCTCGGGGAGCTAGTGGGCTTCTGGTCATCTTTGTTCAGTCATTTCAAGCGTGTCCAGCTCTTGGTGACCCCATTTGGGGTTTTCTTGGCAGAGATACTGGAGTGGTTTGAGATTTCCTTCTCCAGCTCATTTTACAGATGAGGAAACTGAAGTGACTTGCCCAGGATCACATAGCAAGCAAGCATCTGAGGCCAGATTTGAACTCAGGAAGATGAGTCTTCCTGACTCCAGGCCCAACAATATCAAACAAACACTTATTTGTCATGAGAATTCTTTTTAGAGCGTGGGTTGTAGTACATGGCTGTGGAAGTCATAGGTTCCTACATTTAGAGCAAGAAGGGACTTCTGAGCTACATAGCACTCCCCCAATTTTATTTTCAGTTCCAAATTCTCTCCCTCCTTATACCCCTCTCCCACCCATTCAGAAGACAAGAAATACCACACCAATTATACATAGCTACCCAATTTTACAAAGGGGAAAACTGAGAGTGAGACAGGGGACAGAGGATTAGAACCCAAATCCATTGAACTTATGAACACTGTGTCATGCTGCCTCGAACCCAGAGCAGCAACTAAGGATGGCATGACCGGATCTTTGCTCCAGAGTGCTGATGTTTAGAGGTGTGCATTTCATCAATTCTCCCTACTCTCCTACACTCCAGAGGAACTCCCTCTCCAACAAAAAACTCCTAATTCTGGCTCTGCCTAATTTTGAAATCCTGTGAATACCAGGGGGTGCTACTAGATTGTGAGCTCCCTGAGGGCAGGGATTATCTTTTGCCTTTCTTTGTATCTCCAGTGTTTGGCACAGTGCCGGGCACACAGTAGGCACTTAATAAATGTTTATCTATTGATTATTCCTAAACCTACTCTCTGAGCAACCAACCACCAAAGAAGGCAAATTCAGACTACAAATATGGCCTAAATGCCAACAATGTGTAAGATACTAGAGGAATCGCAAAAAATTTAAATGGGAATTAGTTCCTGACTTCAGGAGGCTTAGAGTCTAGCAGAGACATGTGACCACTGGTGAGAAGACCTGGATACACAATAACACAAAGTTGTATTAAAAAAGTTCAAAGATAAAGTGCTACACAAGGTCTGGGGGGCTGGTTTTCACAGGGGGAGGGATTCAGGAGGGCACAGAAATCAAGGAAATTTCCATGGAAGACAGAATTTGAGTTAGGCTTTAAAGGACATATCACCAAACAAGTGCAAAGGGGGGAGGGAGGGCACTTCAGGCATTGGGAACAGCATGGACAAAGGCATGGGGGTAGGACAGTTAAAGTCATCTTTCCGAATTTTGCCTGGGGAGTACAGAATGCGTTGAGAGGAATGAGAGATAAAGCTGTTGGAACAAAAAAGTAGGCGCTGTTACCTACCTGAAGCAGCAGGCTGAGCCCAGCAGCAGAAAGGGAGGGAGGTACCAGATTGTAGAGGGCCAGGAAGATCATAGATACAGCTGGAAGAGACTTCTGAGGTCAAGTCCATCCCCCTCATTATACCAGTGAAGAACAGAGAAGCTAAATGACTTAAATTGTGTGACCCTGGGCAAGTCACTTAACATCTGTTTGCCTCAATTTCCTCAATTGCAAAATAGGGATAATAATAACAACTACCTAGCAGGTTGTTGTGAGGACTGTAGAACACTGAATGCAGTGCCTAGTATGTAATAGGTGTTATAGAAATGCTTATTCCTTTCTCTTCCCCTTGCCTAGTGGGGTCACACAGCTAACAAGTATATGAAGCAGAATTTGAACTCGTATCTTTCTGATTCCAGGTCCAGCAATCTATCCGCTGCCCTTTTTAGCTGGTTCACATGAGACAGTTTAGTTTGATGGTAGCACCAAGGATGGACTGGAGGGAATGTGTCAGTACCATGAGCCTGGTCTCTGGGGAGGTCTATGGCCCTAGTCTTTACCGTAAAGCACAGATTATGGTGGTTGAGGGGTGTGTGTCGCTGACATGCGTAGGCTGGCAAAGAGCTGAGATCCACCTGGCTCCTCGTGGGTAAGGGGACCTGTGAAGAGATAGGGTAAAGGTGAGCAGGAGTAAGCATCACCATCTTCTGCTCAAAGTTCATCACCCTCTAGAGGAACAAAATAAAAAAATGCCATCTTCATGCCCTGTGGTACCCCCACCACTGTGAGGGCTGTGCCCCAAAGTCATTATCCAGTGCCTACCCCTCTGAGCCAGCCACACCAAGGCCAAGCCTGTTCCCCAAAGGCATCAAAGAACGAGGGAAAGGACCCATGTGGACAAAACTATTCGTAGCAGCTCTTTTTGCGGTGACAAAGAACTAGAAACCGAGGGAGGTGCCCATCCATTGAGGAATGAATGGCCAGACAAATTATGGCACATGAATGTGATGGAGTGCTATTAGGCTGCAAGAAATGATGAAGGGGAGAGTTTCAGAGAAAGCTGGGAAGACTTGTATGAACTGATGCATGGAGAAGGCAGCAGAACCAGGAGAACAATTTATCTAACATTTTAAAGACAACGAACCTTGGACAACGAGAATTCTGGTCAATATGATGACCAACAGTGATTCTAGAGGATCGATGATGAGCTCAGATCATCCCTCAGAGTCAACCCTCCCCCGACAGGCGACAGCCTCAGGGTGCTGAATGAGACCTACATTTTAGACACGGCCAATGTGGAATGTTTGGCTTGACCAGGCACATTTGTTACAAAGACTGTTTATTTGGGGGCTTTTTATCTTCTGTCTAGCACAGTGCCTGGTATCTAGCAGACACTTTATTTTTTGAGGCTAGGCAATGGGGTTAAGAGACTTGCCCAGGATCACACAGTTAGTAAGTGTTATGTGTCTGAGGCCAGATTTGAACTCAGGTCCTCCTGAACCCAGGGCCGGTGCTCTATCCACTGTGCCACCTAGCTGGCCTGACTTAATACATTCTTGATGGGCTGGATAAATGACAGAATTGTAGAGAACCACAAAGCTTGATTTTAGGGAAAATACCAGACCTCTCTGGGGTTGACAATTGAATCTTAATTCTAATGTCTTCCCTCCATTGATACTTCCTATTTATGCTGAATAAGTCTTATTTTTACATAGTTGTTTGCATGTTGTCTCCTCCATTAGAATGTGAACTCCTTGAGGACAGGGACAGTTTTTTGACTTTCTTTATATCCCCCAACATTTAACATAGTGCCTGGTACATACTAGTACTTAATAAATGTTAATTGATCAAATAAATTCAATTTAACAAGCACTTACAGTCACAAAAACTGAAACTAAACAGTTTTAGCCCTCAAGGAGCTTCCATTCTATGGAAGGGAAAAAATGCAAATAAATAAGTAAATAGATACTAAATAAATTAAAAAGTAGTGAGGGGTTGCGGTGGGACAGGAGAGGCCTCTTGGAGATGGTAGCTTTTGGGAAGAGTTTTTGAAGAGAGCTGGGAGTTCCAAAGAGGCGTGTGTGTGTGTGTGTGTGTGTGTGTGTGCGTGCGTGTGTGTGTGGTGGGGTTGGAGACAGATAGACTGCCTTATAGCATAGCCACAGCTCACCTGCAGGCAGTGTCTGCCTTCCACCGGCACAGGTTTCCCCTGACCCATGCTCTCGGTGAACCAGCTGATATTCAACATCAGAGGCCTCTGAAGGCTCCCGGAGTCCCCTAAAACACCATCCAGCCAGCCAGATGCTTCTGCTGCCGAGTTTCCCTCCATCACCACATGGGTCACTTCTGGGCTGGGTCCACACAGAACGAGATAGAGGAGACAGTCAAAACGGGAGACTCTCCCAGGCCGTGCCAGCACCATCCTACTCTCCCCAGAAACAGAACTTGCCTTAGCTGCAGCCTCTCCAGTTCCCAGGTCCCTCCCACCTCAGCTGTTCAGAGGCTGCTTGGACGGGACCCCACGTGGAGTTCACTGCACCCTAGGGAAATTCCTTGCTTTGGTCACTTTCACCTCTGGGTGCCCCCTCCTGCCCACATCCTCCTCCGCTATTTTTTTCTGGGTTATCTAACCTACAGGAAAACCTCACTCAAAATAACTCCCTCACAGGAAGCCCAACGCCAGGCGCGGCCAGGCACGACTCTGCCTTGGTCCTAGCTGCGGAAGAGATCAAAGGCTTCTGGGGGCATTTTCCCACGCTCAGGGATGGGGTCACTCAGAGGTACTTGAGTCAGTGATTCCGGCAAGGCAGAGGGGGTAGGAGGCAGGGCACAGGGCACAGGGGGCAGAGCAGGGCATCCTTGCAGTGCCTTTTCCTTCTGCACCCCTCCCCACCCCGGGCTCCCCGTCCATCACCTGTAAGCCTGGTCCACGCGGAAGCCCTTGGCCCGGGCCAGCCCCGTGAGGAAAGCCCGGCGGCTCCGGCCCATGTGCCGCTCGACCAGGTAGATGGTGACCCCCGGGAAGCGGAGCGGGGCTGGGGAGGGGGCTGCAGCTCCCCCAGCCCCGGCCCCGGCCTCCTCCCCCCGGCCTGGGCCCCGTCTTTTCTTGGGGGGCACCAGGGCCATGCCGGGGGCGGGGCAGAGGGAAGAAAACTTGCTGCCGCCGGACAGTCGGGAAGGGAGGGAGGAAGCCGGTTCCGGAAAGACTAGTCAGCTGCCCTTATGCAAATCAAGCCCCGAGAGGCTCCGCCCCACTGCTGATTCAGGCGCCTAAGAGGGCCGCGAGGCCACGCCCCGGGCCCCACCCCCTTGTGGATACCACTGCTCTAGGCTCCGCCCGCTCACCGTGAGGCTGAAGGGCGGTGAGCTGGCGACAACCCGGAGCAAAGGCGTGGAGAGGGGAAGCAGAGAGAAGTGAAGCCGTTTTAGTGAAGCCCTAGGGAGCCCTCCCACCCCGCTCCGCCCCAGTGCTCCCAGTGCATCTCAGCCTAATCTCGGCCCACAGACCCAGGGGCCAGGGAGACCCCTTCCTCCATTCTGAGTTGATTGTAGGACTCAAGGCGGGAGTGGGGGTGGATGTTAGAACCGTGACAAATAATAACTCTGTTACTGCGCTTTAAGCTTGTTTACAAAGTGCTTTCTGTCGGTTACCTAGTTTCCTCCAAGGCTCAGCTCCATCGGCACCTGTTACCAATAGCCCACCCCCCCAAACTGCTAGTACCCTCCCTCTAAAACCACCTATTGGGATAGCCCCTGGGCCTCAGTTTCCTCATCTGTGAAATGAGGGAGTTGGCCCAAGTCAATCCGATCAAGCTCGGAATCTATCCCACTCATACACATACACGGGTAGATTGTAAGTTCTTGAGGGCAGGGGATTGTTTCACTTCTGCCTAAATCAACACTTAGGTCAGGATTAGTGAGTAAAATGAATCCTGCGATGAGATCCATTACTTGAGTCTGCCGTGAAAATTTGTTTTGAACCGAAGCCAGGGGTGTACTGGGGAATAGTTAACACCCGGGGCTGGGAGTGGGGGCTGAGGTGGGGAATGTGCGCGCGACATATTTTTAAGCCTAATCTTCCTTATTCCCACTTTGCCTTTTAGGATCCCTGACTTTCTTCCAAGTTCAGCTCAAATGCCACTTCCCACAGGAAGCTTCTGCTGATCCCCATCCCCCACCCCCGAAATTATTTCACGTATGTTTCGTATTTAATTTTCTATGTACACGTTTCCCTGCAATAAAACACAAAGTCCTTGAGGGAAGGGACCGTTTCATTTCTGCCTTTGTATCCCTGGTGTATTTAGTAAGTGCTTAATGAGTACTTGTTGAACTGAACAAGCTTGAAGGAGCTGTGGAAATCCGAGAGAAGATAGTGCATTCCAGGTAGGAGAGACAGCCCCAGAGAAGGCGAGGAGAAGAGAGAAGGGAATGTCACATAGCCAGGCAGCCAGGCAGCAACTTAGCTCGATGTGCCTCCTCTGTTCTGCCTCATTCTCTGTTCATTCTCTTCCATGAACTTTGTGTTCCTGCCTGTTCCAGCTGTTCCCTGTACATGACATTCCACATGGCAAATAGAGACATTTATGTTTTGTCCTAGAGACAAGAGGGAGCCATTGGAGTTTCTTTTGCAAGAGAATGAGGAAGTCAGAAATTACATTTTTAGAACTATTAATTAGGTAACTATTGGAGTGCAGGGAGACTTAGAGAGGGGGAGGGGTTGGAGGAGGCGATGGCAAGAGTTCAGGGAGAATGGAATCCTGGCTTTGCCATTTTGTTAGTCAATAAACATTTATTAAGTGCCCACTATGTGCCAGGCACTGTGTTAAGTGCTGAAGATGCAAAGAGAGGTAAAAGACAGTCCTTGTCCTCGAGGAGCTCACAGTATCACACTTGGTAAGTCCCTTAACTTCCTTGGGCCTCAGTTTCTTCATCTGAAAATGAGAAAGTTATACTATATGATCTCGGAGATCCCTTTCACACCTAAGCCTGTGGGCCCATGATTCCATTAACTATGACTGCAAGTCCAGACTCTTAGCTTCCAGGTCCAGTCACTTACTATTCTTGGGTAAGACACTTACTTTGTCTCTTAGTTCCCTTTTACGTTAAATGAGGGGGTTAGAAAAGATGATTTCTAAGACCACCCTTCAAGTCCTGATTGCAAGGGGGACCTCCCTGGATCCCACCACAGAAGGGAAGGGATGAACAGCAGCAGCTTTCTCACATCCCACTGGGGGCAACCTTACTTTGTCATTTCTTTTTGTTTGTTTTTAGGCAATTGGGGTGAAGTTACTTGCCCAAGGTCACACAGCTAGTAAGTGTCAAGTGTTTGGTCTGAGACTGGATTTGAACTCGGGTCCTCCTGACTTCATGGCCAGTGCTTTATCCACTGTGCCACCTGGCTGCTCCTTGCTACCCTTTTCAACGGATGATATTTCATGCAGGGTGTTTTTACAAGTGAAAATTTTGTTTATTTATGCCAGAGTGGAGATGTCAACACAGTTTAATTGGGGAGGAGGGAATTAGATTTGGGGCATAGACCCAGAAAGACCCACTGATGTAAACACACACACAGACAAGAAATTCTGCAAGTTTAAATAAGACCAATCACCAGCCAACCTCCTTGAGGTACCTTTTGGCTCTAAATACTGTAATTCACACAGATCTAATTCTATCACCTTGACCTCTCTTCTTCTTCTTCTCTTCCCCCCTTACCACAACCTCAGATAATAGCTTCTCAATTCTGGACCCACTGTCCTGAGACCCATTGAATGTCACTGCTAGCATTTTATCCACTCCATTGGAAAAGTCACTGACAGAAAACCTTGTGGCACTTACAGCCGAATGTGGTAGTGATGGGATGTATACACAGCTAATTGATTTCTGAGTCATTTCTGTCTCATCAGTTGCCCAGAGAAAGATGTCACTAAAGTTTATAACACCAGAGTTGTGTTACCCCAAACACATGGGTTTTCCTCATTCATGTGTTTCCCTGCTAGGTATCTCCAGTTTATGTCCACTCTTGCTCACAAATAGTGAGTAAACTGGCCCACCAGTGATGTAGGTTTATGAGTGGACAATGAAATATTTATTATTTGTGTTTGCCTAATATGAACTGTTGTGGCTTTCGCCTTATTAAGTAAATGGTTATGTTAAAGATCTAGTATGTCACCTTTGTGAGAAGCTGGATTTGAGTAAATAGAAGTGCACTGGTGGGGGCTTGAGAGCTATATTGGTGAGGAGAGAGAATGTATTCCCTCCCAACAGGGTTACCTATAGTTAAGTGTAGACAATGGTGATCCTTTTCTGAGAAACTAGACCTGCCTGTGTGAGAGCAGGTTGTGGGGAATGAACCAAATCAGAGAGTGAGTTTCCAACTTGTTCAGACCTACCACAACTTGAAGTCCCCTGGCATAACCTTTGAGAGCCCAGGGTCACCTCCATACCATATTAAAGAACTAGGAAGCTAAATGACACAGTGGATGGAGGTCACAACAGCTAGGAAATGTCAGATTTGGCAGGTGACTTGAGACCCTTGTCAGGGAGATTGGATAGCAAACCATTGGTGGAATCACAAGTAGATGGGCAGCAGGTGTAAGCTAGTAGGTGCTACTCAACTAGGGGGCTCAGAGGCCAAACTTCCAGCTAAGGATGAATGGTCCCAGCTGTGAAGATCTGGGGAGCTCATGGACGGGAAGACAAACTATCTTTCTGACCTGGCCTGTGGCCAACAATGGTTAGGTCGCCTATTACCCTGGACCATATGTAGTGAGGTCAGCTTGGCCATGGCAGGAATGAGGACACAAGGCAGGGACACAGGATGCTTGGGTTACCTCTGAGATCTGCCTGGATAGATTCAGGAAGACCTTGAGCAGCCCACTGAATGCCTTTCTGTCCCCCCTCCCCCCTCATCCCCCATGCACTTGCCAGGTCTATACTATCTCTATATTCCTGGGTTCCCACATGCAAAAAGGCCCTGCTTTGTAAAATTGTAAAATCCAGGTGGCCTATCTGAAATTTAGGAGGGCTTCTGGGCCCTTAGTATCATACTTAGGATTGTACAAGGCAATATAAGGGGAGACAGGGTTCCAAATTGCTTCCAGTTCCATCATCTGGTCCTTTCCCTAGCTGGAGCCATGACTCTATGCTTCCATTTGAAACTCAAAGCAGTTCTGTAAGATAGGAAGAAGGGGTTTTTATTATCTCCATTTTATAGACTAGGAGACTAGGATTCAGGGTGGGGTAGGGGGACATGATTTGCCCTGAATTGAAAAGGAGGTTAGCAGTCAAATCAAGGCTAGGCATGGTAGGGATCCCTGAAATACAGGATCGTTGCAGATAGAAGGGGGCATTGGGATCTAGCATGTTTTAGAACATAGTCTGATGCTAAGTGAAGTGAGCAGAACCAGGAGAACGTTGTACACAGTAACAGCCATGTTGTGTGATGACTGATATTGATAGACTTAGCCCTTCTCAGCAATACAAGGATCTAAGACATCTCCAAAGGCCTCATGATAGAAAATGCTATCCACATCCAAAGAAAGAACTATGGAGTTTGAAAGCAGATCGAAGCATACTATTTGCTGTTTTTTTCTTCTGTTGTATTTTGTTTCCTCTTTCTGGTGGTTCATCCTATTGGTTCTAATTCTTACTTACAACATCACTAATGTGAAAATATGTTTAATAGGAATGTATATGTATAGCCTACTTCAGATTGCTCACTATCTTGGGGAGGGAGGTGGGGAGGGAGGGGGAGAAAAATTCAAAACTCAAAAGCTTATGGAAGTGATTGTTGATAAATCAAAATAAATTAATTTAAAAAATAAGGCAACAATGAAAAAAAAGAACATAGGGCATAGAATGTTATAGCTAGTTGTTTTTCTTTTTTTCAGAGGACTAATGACATTATGGGTAATGTCTCGACTTGCATGTGAATTGGATTTAAGTGAGGCAGAGTTGCACAAAGTCATCATCCTCACCCCCTTCTTCCACAGTTGTCGAAGCCCTGTGGCAAGACAAAAGTCTGGGCGACTGGTGATGGCCCAGGATGCAGTGGATGACCTTGGCATCTTTGATGTCTAACCAAGCTCTAAGCACTCCACAGAACCTGCTTTAGCCACTTTCTTAACCATTGAAACAAATTG